CTCCTCCTTCCCCCAACGCCCTCTCCCTCCCGTGAGGAGTAGCTAGCTCAGCCACCCCACACACAGGTCCCATCCCTGCCACCCCCAGCTGCGGACCCTGGCCTTCTTGTGCAGCAGCTGGGCATGAGTGACTGACCCATGCACCCCACCGGCAGCATGGCCTCGATGCTTTTCTTTCCTGGCTGTTCTTCCCTCTTTCCCTCCTCCCCAGTCAGTGGGGCAGGAGCGGGCACAACCCCTCACCCACCTGGCTCCTGGGAAGACCAGGGGCCCAGACATGGCTGGCCAGTGAGACAGAAACTCCCTGGGCATGGAGAGAAGGGCCGTGGATTGGGGGCCAGAAGATCCAAGGTTGGGGGGGAGTGTGTCTTAGAGAGGTGAAAGAAAGCAGGCATCTCAGGCAGGGGCCTCCAGGTTGAGGCACAGTGTCCTCACCAGTGGGGCGGCCTGGGGCTTTGAGCCTTGATGGTCTCATCTGAGCAGACGCCTTCCTGCAAGCAGTCAATGGCTCCGTGCATTTTACACAGAGCCCAGCATATAGTAAGTGCTCAGTAAATGGGGCTCTGCTGCTCTAGTCTCTGGTGGGGGCTCTAGACTAGGAGGAAGGAACCCGATTTTGGCATTCCTTCCATATCCCATGCTGGCCAGGCTGGTATTTGCTCACTATTGACAGGAAAACTGAGGCCTAGCAACGGCCTGGGGGTGGGGGCAGCCTGAGAGGCAGGGCAGGCCCTGGCAGCGCCTCCCAAGGCCTGTTTCTCAGATGCAGCCTCGGAGAGGGGCCCGCAGGCACTGGTTTAGAGAACAGGCTCCTCAGTGAGCCAATCACACGCGGCTCCTGGCTCTGCTGTGCACTAGTTGTGTGGCTTTTGTAAGTCCCGCAGCCTGGTGAGCTCAGGGTTCCTCATCTCTGATTTCCCACTGCACCTCACCAGGTTGTGGGAAGGGGAGTGAGGTGACAAGTGTGAGGCATGAGGCTGGGCACCTCCCTGTGGCTTCTAAGATTAGCCTGCTCCTTATGATGTCAACCATGGCATCTGCAGCCTCAGCCTCTTGAGGGCAGGACCACAGTGTGAGGACATCAAACCCTCCATGGCTTCCAACCCAAAATAGCCCTGTCTTTAGGCCGACCCATCCCATTACAGCTGCTCCTGCCGTTCACTGTCCCCAGTGGAGTTGACATGGTTCTTGCCACGTGGCTGTGCTTATCCCCTGAACTGCTTCAGCCAATGCTCCCTAGGAAACAGGATTTTACCTGGGCACCCAGTGCAGCCCCCAGGAGGCAGCTGAGCACAGTCATGGGGCTCACAGGGCAGCAACATAAATATCTCAGGCTTTGCAGCAACACTCAGGGGCAGTCAGTCCCTGAACTCCCCCTCGGTTTCCTCATCTGGAAAATGGGCTACATACAAGATTGCTTGTGAGGGTTCAAGTAGATCATGCACGAAACAGATCTTTCATGGAGCCTGGCATGCAGCAGGTGCTCAGTAAGTGGAGCTGGTTGTTGTATATCCCTGCTTGGGATTTTACAGAATCACATTCGTCTGCCTCCCTCTGGGCCTCTCAGTGACCCTGTACAGATCTCCTTGCCGGGAATTGTGAGGCAGAAACTAAAGGTTCTGAGGTTCTGGATTGTCTGCGCCACCCCCAGGGTTTCCAGAGCAACGGGCCCCTTGCAGAGTATCTCTCACAGGGGTCTGCTGGGTCCAGCTCCTTCTTGTGTGAACCGGACTCCCCCAGCGGGACCCCACCAGCGTTCACCTCTCCTTTGGGTCCCGAGACATCGGATGGTGGCAGGCGGGGAAGGCCTGGGTCTGCCTCTTTATCAGATGAGCAAGTTGAGTCTGAGAAAGCCGCCAGGACAGGCCACCCACAGACACAGACCGCTGCCGTGAGGATCAGTCCACAGGAGAGAGAAGGGGCACTCAGAATCCAGTCAGACTAGAGGCAGACATGCTCAGAACTGGGGCATTCCAGGCACCCTTAAGAGACAGCTCTGGACACACAAGCCCAGAGAGGGAGCGGGTGTCTGAGGTGCGGAGCAGGTTAAGGTGGGATGGGGCCGGCGCTGCTCGCTCCTCATCCCTTCACCCAGTGTGTGTGCAAAGCGCACACCCTCACACCTGAACAGCGAGACTCGGAGAATGCAGTCAAGGAGGCAGACCCCGGGTCAGGCCTCTGAGCAGGCGGTAAAAACACCAGGTCTTCTCCTTGGCTCCAGCCCACTGCGGGCACAGGCTCCCTCTACCTAGGCAGTCACAACGCAGACAGGGAGGATGTGTTTTTCCGAAGGGCAGACTTTGTCTAATCTTCACTACTATGGAGAAATGGAGGCCAGCGGGTCCAGAGCACCACCCCCAGCTCTGCTGCACCCAGCTTTGTCCCCATCAAGGCCCTGGAGTCTCCCAGGTTGCTTAGCTTTCCAATCCTTGGCTAAGAGCATCCCTCTAGGCATGAGGATCAGAGAGCCCTCCAAGGGACTGAGCCACCGTGCCTGTGTGCCTGATCTGCCTCCCACCTGGAATGCCTCTCCTCACCTCTCACTCCTCGCTTGTTCAGCAAGTATTTGCCAGGTGCTTGCTATGTACCAGGCAGAGTAATGCTGTGGGATACTGAGAGCCTACAGATAGGTTAAGTGTGTAACAATGTGAACAGGAATGGGTCCTGGGAAGGACAAGGGAGGTTGAAAGTGGGGTCTAATTTGAGGAACTGGAAGAACATGGCTTAGGGGACAGGCCTCTGAGCAGATAAGTTTTTGAAAACAATAGCAGGATGAAGAAGAAGAGGTAGGGCTAGGGACTAGAAACAACATGTGCAAAGGTCCTGGGGTGAGAAATAGTTTAAGGAGTGTGGGAAAGGCCAGATCACCATGGGTAGAGTCTAGAGAGGGAGAAGTCGGATGGTTTAGAGTGGTAGAAGAGGCAGACCTGAATGATTGGGTCATGTGGGCAACAGAGAGAGACAGAGGTCCAAGAGAAGTGACCAAGCAAGGAAACTGAAAAAGAAATGGGAGAGAAGCTGTCCCAGAAGCTGGATGATGAAAGTGTTCCAAGAAAGGGGGGCTAGTGGAGGATTTTTGTGCCCTCTGCGATTCATATGGTGCAAACCTAACTCCCAGTGTGGCTGTGTCTGGAACAGGAGACCCTGATCCAATGGGAGAGAAGGCCCTCCCAGAGAGCCCACGTTCTCTGGCCAAGTGCAGTGCCTCAGGAAAGGCCACATGGACACTTGGGTAAAGCTAGCCACCTGCAAGCCCGGGGAGCCCCCTCCCCAGCTGGGCCTGCAACCCTCCCTGCACGGGCTTGGCCTCCACCCCTTTGCCGCCTGCCCCACTCCCAAGGCCTCCTCTGTAGCTCAGCCTCTCCCTCGATGCCTGGCAGCATCCAGGAGGTCAGTGGCAGCTCCCGTGGCAGGCGAGACAAGGGCTGATTGTGCACAGAGGGCCTTCCATCATGGTAAAGGCGGCCTCAGTTTCCAGCCTCGCCCTGCCCAGAGGCTGTTGCTACCAAACCCGAAGGGCAGCGTATTCAGGCTGTGGGCTCCTGAGATGCCACTGGGCAGGGACAGAGATGCAGGGATTTGCTCCCCCTCCATCCTTGGGACAAGGATCTGTACCCCTCATGGGGCAGTACCCAGCCATCCACCCTGGCAGTCCTGTCCCTGTGCCAGGTTTCAGGTGGATGGTGCTGGAGGCAGACAGGCTTGTCCCACTCTCAGGATCCCTGGGGACCCGGATCGTTTGTCCTTCCTCTGTTCCAGGCTGGGAGGTTTTCCAGGGCGAGGGCCTCTCTCTCCTTCCTTCCCTCTCCCCTGCCTCTCCGGTCACTAAAACTCACTGTTTCCTAGGCCTTAATTTCCCTCCCTCCTGTATCTCTGACCCTGACCCACAGCTCAGCACATGGGGGTCACTCAAGGGGCAGCGACACACCATCTGATTGCTCAAAGGGGCCGTGTCCCTGGCTGGGCCTGGCCCAGCTCTCCTGGGGGCCGTAGCGCTGAATGTGGCAAAGGCCTCTCTGGAAGGAGCTGGGCTGCCGCAGGAGGAAGGGAATTTGGCCTTGACTCTGTGCCAGGCAGACAGGCCTGGTGGGGAAGGGGGGAATCCAGAGGGAGAACTCTATTTGCTTAGTGCAGATCGTGGCCCCAGGAGGACCTGAGCCCCTAAAAGGCCAACCCAAGCTGGGGTGAGGCTGCCCTGTACCACTCACCTTGAGAGGCTAACAGGGTTCTCTTCCCCACGAGCCCAAAACCCTCCACCCCTGTGCCTAACCTCACTCCTGCCCTCCTGCTGCCCTCTGTTGCCCAGAGACAGCCACTGTGTGCCAAGCAGCCTGGCAGAACGGGCAGCAATTGGGCCAGCTGAGCATTCCAGGGAGCTTGGTTACCTGCATCCCTGGGGCCCCAAGCTTGTGGCATTGGCCACAGAGAAGCCCTTCTGAGGTTTGCAGTTCCCTAACCCACACTCTGCCTGGGTTTTCTGTCCCAAACAAGTTTTCCCCAACGTGTTTCCCAGGGCTTCCAGTTGTCTGAGAGGCTGGCCAGGGGCAGCTCCTGGTGACAGCAGCCTTGGGGACCCTGTACACCAGGGAGCACGCTCCACTTGAGCCCTGGCCTTTAATTATCAGGACCGATCCTGGTGCCTGTTCCATCTCCATGATCTGCACGGTCTCACTAATTGAATCCGCCACAGCAGCGCAGACCTGGGGGACAGCCAGGGCGGCAGACACTCAGGGGGCTGCAAACTTCCTTTCCTTCTTAGCCAAGAGCAAAACACGAGCAGTTTGGAAACTCTCTCCCTGCCCCTGCCCCTACCCCTGTCCATGCTGAGTCCAAGGGGGACCCTGCAGCCCTGTGCCCCATAACCCCGGGCACCCATACCCACCCAGAGTCCTGAGCGCAGACAGTGTCCCGCCGCCTGCCCGCCTGCCCCCCTTCAACTCAGATTCCTAGAGCAGAGCAAAGTCTGCCTGAGCAGGGGGCTGAAATCCCCAACTCTGTCACTTGGCCGGCGTGGCTCCCCTACCGTAGGAGTCGTCTTGGTCCAGGAGGGAGTCGGGCTCCATGGCGTGTGGGCCCCCAGCCCCTGGCCCCACCTAATTTATGAACCGAGGCCGTCTCCATGAGCGTCTGGGTTTCTCCTTTTGTATTCCATCTGGCGGCTTTTCCAACTAGATGACTGGGTATTCCTGCAAGCAGGCCCCTTTCCAGCCCTCGCCTTCATACAGTACATTTAAAGTAGCAGTAACCTCTTTTTCCTCCCCCCGCAGCCTGGCTGGGAACATTAGAAGGGACTGAGGCGGCGAGATGTCTAAAATAGGAAGACGCCGGGGACGCTTGGCCTGGCTGCCCGTGATGCTGGCTGCAGAGATCTGGCCGGGCTGTGCAGATGGAAACACTAAGAGGTAAGGCAGAGACAGGGCTTAGCATCTGGAAGCTGGTTCTGGGGCCCTGGGGACCTGTGGGAAGCGAGGAGGCTGACCCACTTGTGGGTGGGAGGGGATGGGGGTCCACTCTACTTGCCACCCGGCACCCAAACCCCAGGGCTTCTCCCTGGCCCTGCCGGAACCTCCCACGCAAATCTGTTCTCAGACATTTCCTGCAGTGTGGGGGATGAACAAATTGACTCATCCATCCATTCAGTTAGTCACTAAATATTTTTTTGAGCATCTAGTCCTTGCCAGACACTGTGCCTGCTGCTAGGTCTGCAGCAGGGAACAAGCACAGTGTCTGGCCCTCTGCAGAGGTAAACAACTTGCAGGTAAACAGGTCATTGCAATGTCGTGTGTGGGTCAGGTAGTGCACAGAGCGCCGAGTAGGAGCCTCACCTGCATCAGAGAGGTGGTCAGGGGAGGACTCCTGAAGGAATGGGTACCTACGCTGGGGCCTAAAGGATGTGTAGGAGTCAGCCAGGTAAAGAAGAAGGAACGATTGACCATACCTGGGAATTTCAGTTAATTTTAGGTGGTTGGAGCGAGTGGCTAACGGCCTGGGGAGAGCTGAGGCGAGGGACAGAGACAGGAGCAGGTCCGGCAGGGCCTGTGGGGACCGTCCCAGGCCCAGGCTGAGCCTAGTCCCTGGGAGTGACACCATCCCAGTGGAACAGGGTGGGCAACGGGCCAGGGCTGGATTCATGAGGCTGTGGCTTGGGGATGGTTTTCTAAGTACCCTCAGAAGTGGCATTGTGTGGAGTACTCACCCGCCGTGCCTCATGTGGCATGGGTCATCCCATTTTACAGAGGAGGGCAATGCACAAGGTGGTGTGACTTGTCCAGCGCCACCACCAGGAGTGACCATCAGGGCAGACCCTGCAGAGGTCACAGCCTTGGTGTGGGGTGGGAGGATAAGAAAGATGCAGTGATTTACCCCACGTCTCGCGTCCCACAGACCCAGTCAGAACCCAGGCCAGCACTGTGGGCTTACCCAGTGCTGCGGTTCTAAAACAAACCCCAAAGCCCCATGTGTTCACAGTTGGCACTTAATCTGTCCATAGATTCATCATCAATGGCATTATTAGTAGGCAACAGAAACAGGAGGTGGGGCCGAGTTGAAGGTCATGAACTTGGGGACTGTATCTTTTCTCTTTTCTCTTTTCTCTCTCTCTCTTTTCCTGGCTGCCATGACAGGAGTATCTTCCCTCCACTATGCCATGATATTTTGGTCTCATCACAGGTCTGTAAGTCTTGGAATGAGCTGACCGTGGACTGAAACCTCTGAAACCATGAACCAAAATAAATGGTTCCTACTTGAACTTGTTTTTCCTCATGTGTTTTGTCATAGCACTGGCAAGCTGGCTGACATATGGTGGTGGGGGGCAAGCTTCATTGGAGCTTAATCAGAGAAGGCCTCCTGAGTGAGGAGGTGCCTTGCTCAGGAGACACAGGCAGAAGAACAGGTTGGGTGAGCCAAGCAGGGAGGCCGAGGTACTCAGGACCAAGGATGGCAGGAGCAAAGGCATAAGGCACACAGGCAGCTCACTGTGGCTGGGGACTGATGGGGTTGATGACCAGTGGGGCCAGGGCGAAAAAAGGGTGGGCAGCAGGTCTGGGGGCATACACATGTTCTAGGGGGCGACACGCAGCCCAGCATGAGCTTCCTTCTAGGGCAAAGCCAGCTGTCTCCACCAGCGGGCCTCTGCCAGCTTCCTTCCTGCTACCTCCACAGGAGAGATAACCTGCTCTGTCGACTCCACGGCATCACTAGAACGAGCCTCAGTAACTTGTTTTTGGAAGACACAGCCCTGGTGCAGAGGTTGAAGGGACCTCAAGAGAAAGGAAATAGGAGACAGAGAGATAGGCAGGAGGGTCCAGGCCAGGGTGGCAGGAAGGGGAGGCCAGGCCAGGTCCCTCCCAGCTTCCTGCCACTGCCCAGCTCCTCCCAGAGAACCAGAGGCTGCTGATACGATTGGCCAGGCCATGGAGAGGCTGTTCCTGTCCCCTCCTCCCTGCCCTCACCCCAGATGACAGGGATCCCAGCTCCAGGCCTCCTGCTGCCTTAATTACAGGGAGGCCAGGCCCTACCCAAGCCAGCTGCAGGCCCAGCTCCCTGGATCTCCTAATCAAGGGGTGCGCAGGATGGGCTGGGGTGGGGGAGGGGTTGCAGGGAGGCATGAGGATGGGGAACCAGGCCATGGACCAGCAGCCAGTGGGTGTGCTCAGGCCCAGTGCTTCTGCCTAGCCATCTCCAGGGCCTGGAGGTGCTGGGGTATCTAGGGATCCCTTTGACATAGGTGCCTGGGGTCTTTCTAGATTGCAGTAGTTAGGAGGATGGGGCTGAAAGCTTTATCCCAGGGCCCTGCCACTGACTACCCTAGTGACTTGGGGGAGCTGGTCTACCCTTGTGAGTCTCATTGCTAGAACGGGCTGCCAGTCAGCCCTCACCTCCTAGGGGTTTTATGAAGATTAGATGGACATTGAGCCTCACAGCCTCAGGGCAGGACTGGGTGTGTCTGAAACACCCTGGAGAAGAGTAAACTCATCTGCACCTAAACGTGGATCACCTCCTCAGCCTGCCAAGGGAAGTGGGGAGGACAAAGGTCCATCTTACAGCCCAGAAAGCTGAGGCTTCGGAAGGACCAACTTAAGCTCCTCTCAATGTGAGGAGCGCTGATGGCGCACCCCTCCCTTGGCTAACCATGCACCCCAGAACTGGCTGAGAGCAGGTGGCTGCTCTCCCTCGGGGGAAGACTGGGAAGGTCTCCATCCCAGCTGTCAATCTTGTGACCCCTTTATCCTCCCTGTATCTCCCTCTGTCACCAATCAAGGAACAGAGTTGGATCAGCCTGCACCCTCCCCAGCCATTTCCCTTTTTTCATGAATCTCTGGTACATAGCAGCCCCAGCTCCTGTCTACCAGTGAGTTATTAACAATAAGTGTGTAGTAGGCACTGGGCACCAGACCCTACTGCCTTCCCTGGCGATCTGGTGGCACGGCTGGATGAAGCCCCTGCCGAGGAGCCGCTGTGTAATGCTGCTCTCTGAGGCTGTGCCGTCCCTCATTTGCACGGATCCCCTCCTGCTGGACACCTGGGTTGCTGCCAGTTGTTTACGATGATGAGCAGTGCTGCTGTGAACATCTTGCCTCTGCACAGTGGTCTAACGATCTCTGTAGGGGAAAACCAGAGATGCAAACTGCCTGGGTCACAAAGGGGCTGTGTTTGTCCTTTCCTGGCACAGCCGCAAAAGGCAGCACCCGAGCCCCACCTGCTTCTTTTATTCCTCATGCTCACTGTTAACGACTGTGGATTTTGTGCCTAGCCCTGGGCCAGGACCCGGGATGGCCGTGTCCGGAGCTGGTGGATTTACACTGTGGCAAGAGAGGGGTGCTACTCAGAAAGTTACACGGGGGCCCAGAGCAGTGACTGTTAAGCAGTGACCTTTGAGCAGGGACCTGAACGGCAAGGTGGAGCCAGCTGAGGAAAGTGCAGGGCACAAGAGCCCAGGTGTGGCAGGGCCAGCGAAGGCTGAATGGGAATAAGCCCAGCAGAATGAGACCCACATGAACAGCGCTGGTGCGAGGTGCAGAGATGGCGCCGAGAGCTCAGACTCGAACGAGGTGGGAAACGAGACGTGTCCAGGACAACGATCCGAGCTGTGGGACAGGGCAGAGCTGAGGGCCACTGGGTGCAGGAGTTATGCTGTGGTTCCGCTGGGGTTGAGAGGTGCAGACAGGCCTGTGAGGTGGACCTGGTCTCAGTCACTCTGAGAGCCACAGTGCCCTGAGGCCAGCAGGCTGACCGCACCACCAGCAGTGAGCTGTCACTCCTGGCGAGGAAAGGAGGAAGCGGACACCGGGGACTGCTGACCCAAGTCTGGCTAAGGAAGTCCTTTTACCGCAGGGCTGATGGATGCTATGAGGAGCTCGAGGTGTCCTGGTCCTCCAGAACATCTGAGCTGGGTAGACGCTGACCCAGGGCCCACCCTCTTTAGCTGTCCGGCCCTGGGGCTGGAGCCTGGCTCCTCTCCCTGCCTTGCTCCCCTCATGGCTGCATCTCTCCCTGCGGGGCCAGGTGGCCAAGCCCAGTGATCAGGAGCTGAGGACTGGTGTCCCCCACCTGGGTCCAAACCCCAGCTCCCACTTACCTGCTGAATAACGCTGGGAGGTGAGGGTCCCCTCTCAGCACCTCTGTTCCCCGCTGTAACTAGAGGAGAAAGCTGGACCCCAGGGGGCTTTAGAAGAACTGAGTTGTAACAGGTAGGGCTGAGAGGTGACCTTGGGCACAGCAGGTGCCCGGCACACCTGAAATCTAGAGCTCATGATACAGCCTGAGGCCCTGGAGGGAGCTGCCAGACCTCGGCCCTCCCCCATCCCCACCCCTCCCCTCTGCAACCTCCCTGCCCTCCCCTTACTCCCTCTGAAGGCTGAGCACTGGCCCTCGGACTGCTCTCTCTCTCTGCTTGGAGGGGTACTCCTGACTGTCACCAACCCTCAGTCCTGGTCGTGAGCTGCCTCTTGTAGAACCACCACCTCCCTGCCCCTTGTCCTCTGGTCCCCACACACTGCCTGCCTGCCTATGACCCTCACCAGTCCTGCATTTGTGCCAGCTCCACCCTGCACCCCAGCACCAGGTTAGGGTCCAGCCCAGTGGTCCGCAGTAAACAGGTGGTGAGGGAAACACCTGTGGGTGACCAAGCATCAGCACTGACCGCCATCTTCCCCTCTGTCCTGGCACCTCCCATGAAGAGGCCTCTGTCTGTGTTTCTCTTTGGGTCTTCTTTTTGTTTCATTTCGTTCTGAGACAAAGTCTCACTCTGTAGCTCAGGCTGGGCTTGACCCCACCATGTAGCCTAACTGGCCTTGAACACTTGGAGATCCTCCTGCCTCAGCCTCCTGAGTGCTGAGATTTCAGGTGTGTACCACCACATCCAGCTTCTCCCTGCATTTTAATGCTTTTCTGGCTGTATGAGGCTCTCCCTTCTCATGAAGGGCTGAAACCCGGGCACAAGAGGGGAGAGAAGTCAGAAGGTGGTAGAGGTGGCACTGAGTCTGCTCTTCCCTGTGTTCCTTCCTCAATAACCTAAAGAAGGTTTGTAGAATCCCATTTCGCAGAAGGGAAAATGGAGGCACATAAAGCTGAACAGCGGCAAAGCTGGGGTTTGAACCTACTCTTGCCTGTGGGAAGTCCCTGGTGTGGGCCCAAAGAGGGCAGGAGAGTGTGGGGGTGAAATGGAGCTCAGGGAGCCCAGAGGAGGAAAAGGGCTGGCCTTCGTTCTGCACCCTGAAACCCCGCCTTACATCTGGGCCCCTCCAGCTGCTAGTCTCCTCCCGGAAACTTCTTTCAGGATTCAAGAAGGTGGGTTCTGCTTCCTAGGCTCCTTCCAATGCCCTGGAACTGACATGGCTACCTTCTGGCATGTTCAAGAGCAGGACATGGGCCGACCTGTCCATGCTCCCCCAAGCCAGGTGAGGCCACGGGACAGCCAGGCTTCTCTGAAGTCAGCGATGCCCACATGTGCCTGTGAGTTCCCGTGTCCCCCTGGGGAATCCCAGCCACAAGACCCAAGGCATCCTAGACTCAGAACAGGAAGTCACTAAGCCACTTCACACGAGAGGAAGTGGTAGGAACCAGCACCCCACTTCTGTGCTGGAACAGAAACCCAAGTCGTCTGAGGGCTGTCAGGAAGGTAAAGTGACTGTCCATATCCCCAGCTGATCCCAGGGCCAGCTCTCAGCCACAGAGCTCTGTGGCCACTGGGGCTGCAGGAATGTGGGGCCAAATTGTCGAGAAACAACCTCAAGCCTTTTGGGAAGAGGCAAGTGAGGAAGAGAAGCCTGGGGTCTGGGGATTTGTCGGGGTTTCCAGAGCCAACGGGACAAGGACAGTGCTCTGGGATCCTTAGACTTCCCACAGATCGTCAACTCCACACTGAACCATGGGGCCCAGCTGAAGATGTCCCAACTGCCAGGTCCCAGGGTTTTGGCACTTGGAAACATACTAGGGGTCCCCAGGCTTCCTGAGGCAGGGAGGGACCTGATCAGATCAGAGATCAGAGCAGGCAGGAGGCACAGACTGATAAGGGGCAAGGATCTTCAGTTGCAGGTGAGGGCAGCACCGTCCACCTCTCACCAGGCCCCCAGAAGGGCCCAGCCATCCCGAGCCCCAGGTGGGAAACAGCCGGAGCTCTCTCTCACCCCTGCACATTTCCACTGGGAGCGATCTTCTCCTGGCCTCCTGGGCCCCACACTTGTTTGCTTACCTCCTCGTAAGGGAGCTCCCCACCCCAGGCAGCTCCCCAGGGAATCTTGCCGCGTC